AGAGGCCAGGGACTGGGAACCCATCGGGATGGGATGGGATGGGATGGGATGGGATGGGATGGGATGGGATGGGATGGGATGGGATGGAATGGGATGGGATGGATGAGGAGTGATAACAAAATCTGGCAGAATAAAGTTGCTAACACACACCAGTGGTGTTACCAAGTGAAGTATTATGCAGCAGGACATGCAGAAGGATCTCTCAATATTTTTGTGTGTGTTGTGGACTTTATAACCATGTTTTTATTCATTATAACCACATATAGACATTATAAAGTTTTTCTTTTCTAAGGAAAACTGTGAAAAATGCCAATCACTTGTTTTTAAAATTTTTAAAAATTTAATAGTAATAAAATGGTTAAAAAACGGTAACACAATTAGAGTAATAACAATTTGGCCATATTGAATTAAGACATGAGACAATAAAAACAAAGAGTTACAGACGTCCGGGTACCTTTTTCTGGTCATCAGGAGCCCAAAAAAGGACACCCGTCAACAAAGGATTAACCCTTAAGAAAATAGCCTGTTGCGTATTCATACACTTCATGGATGATGTATAAATTCCATTCAAACACAGGATTCCATCTGGTCAGTGTCAGCTTCTTCCTTCTAATCCCAACAGCACCTCCAAGGTGGGAAGAAGTTGGTTTCTTCTGATAAGAAGGCAATAAATTCCCTTTTTCTGAAATATATAGGTGTCCTGTGGCTGCTATCTCGCTGCAAGCCCTTTCTGTTAAATAAAGTATCTTACATAACATAGTTTCTATTTTAACAATTTTCTTAACTTAAACTGTATTTAACACAGGACTTAAGAGAATTATTACAGCATTACTGTCTAACACAACACATACAATGTTAATTTTAATATTTGCAAAATCCAATCATAAAATACATGCATTTTTCACAACACCTTAAACAAAAACATTAATACCAGTTTCCTAGAACTCCCTTCCATGTATCCACTTCCTACTGGGAGTCCTCTGATGGCACTGGAGATTCATTGAGAGGGGCTTCTAGTGGTTGTATTCACTGAGTGCTGTGATATTAAACATGACCTTGCCTTGAACTTTTCCTTTGGCCATGTGCTCTTGCTTCTTGTTACAGAACTTGCCCCAAAACCATTGCAGGCCTCCAAATCTGTTTCTGCACTGGCTCCAGCCACCAGGGTCCACATCTTTACATATGTTTATCAATTTGCCCAGTTAATCTTTAAGCAACTTTAGGAGAGTTGAAAAAGTTTATTCTCTCTTCTTTATCAATCCCCTGCACACCAGCCCAACCCTCCCACCCTCACTCCCACCCCACAATTTCCACTGCCCTGCTCTCCTGCACATCTCACTTCTCCCTACTGAATCCTTCCCACTGCAGGGAGCTGCTCAGGAGCCACATGGTCCATCCCTGGATTCTCCAAGCACTGACTGCCCATCCACTCTGACCACAGCCAGGGGCAACATCCCACTGCCTGCCCAGCGTCCATCCATGGAGGTGACCACCGTGTCCCCATCTCCTGCCTCACCCACTGAAGGAGATGATCTCTGTGAGACAGATGTCACCAATGTGGCCATACACAGTGCAGCAGTGATCATTGGCCTCTGTGGGCTGGCTGGTAACGGGGCTGTCATCGGCCTTCTCAGCCTGAAAAGCAGGAATGCTGGCATATTTGACCTGGCTGTCATTGACTTCCTCTTCCTCCTCTTTGCAGTCTCCTCTGCCCTCCTCATCCTGGTGGAAGATTTGTCTTGCTCTCCCATCCTGCCCATGATGTACATGAACTTCGTTTTCCATCTGTCATTGGTCTCCTACTACTGGGCGCTGTTCCGGCTGACACGCAGCAGCCCAGTGCGTTATATGCACAACTTCTGCAAGCTCTGCTGCCACTGCGACCTTCCTCTGCGTCTGGTGTGGGTGGTGGACACTGTCCAATACTGGACCATCTTTGCTGTCTTCACTGTCCTTCCCATGGTGACATTCCTGTGCCCAACACAGCAGCAGGAGCACTGCCGGGCAGCTCTTATCCCTGTGTACACCATCACCCTGCTCCTCTTTGCTGTACCTGTGGTCATTTCTCACACAGTTGATTTCATTAAGGCCAAGTGGGGCTCACAGCAGCAGCAAGCCAAGAGGCGTGACATCGTTATTGTCATCATTGTGCTCTTCACTTTGCTCCTTAGTCTCTGCAATTTCCTGCAGCAGCTCGGTTACACGGTTGTGCCCTCCCAGGTTGTTTTCCTGCTCACCTGCGTCTACAGCAGCATCAAACCCTTCATCTACTTCTTGGCAGGGAGGTGCAGGAGGCCCTGCTCTGTGGAGTCCCTCCAGCTCACCCTCCAGAGGGTCTTTGAGGAGCCAAAAGAAAAAAAAGCCCGCAGAAAGGATAGTGCCATGGACACAGGGGTCTGAGCCTGCGGATCCCTTCCACTGCTCTGCTGAAGGACCACGGGAAAGTGGCTGAGAGATTCCTTAAGTCTCCTTATTAATCAATATCCATGGGATCACTCTCCTCGTCGTGTTGTATTTCTGCAGAAGAAGGGAGCAGGAGCATTGCCTTGGGTGATTTCTGTGGGATGCTCTGCAGGGAGCATTGGAGCATGGCTTTCCTCCTCCCTCCTGGATCCACATGGCTCCAAGCAGTGCAGCTGGGCTCAGTGCTGTTCCCCAGCTCTATTCCCCATCGAATGACCCTCATGGCCTCAGNGCCCCTGCTCTCCGTGCTGCCTCGTGTTCTCCAGGGCTCTCACACACAGGCAGCTGCCTCAGAGCCTGCCACGGGCTCAGGGCTCTGCTCCTCAGCTGCTCTTCACTCTGCCCGGGAAATGAGCAACGGGAGAGAGCCTCAGCAACCACACCTGTGCCCAAAGCACTTGGGCTCCAACTCAGCTTGTCTTCCATTTTAAAGTAACCCCAATCCCAAAATCTGGTCTTTTCAGCTGCCTAAACTTGCCCCCTCTCATTCCTTGACTGGATCCTTAGGACCCTGAACTACAAATGTACTGTTAAACTTTTCTTTCTGGTTCAAATCTAGTTTGGCCGTGTGTATATCACAATTTCAGTGGCACATCCCCTTCACCACACAGTTTCCAAAGAGATTTGTGCAATAATAAATTCTGTGTGTGTGCTGGAGTACTGCCCCAGAGCAGATGGGTTATTTAGGATGTCAGCTATGTCACTTCTTTTCAGAGGCAAATCCATGCTGCTCTCTTGGCTTTAATCCTTAGAAAGTTGCATGTTTCATATGAGTCATATTCTAAACTCCTCTGGCTGTCAGACAGCAGCCTAGAGTGAATTACAAGGAATTCCCAGAAAGCTGGGGTGAGATGATTCCTACCCAGGCTGACATGTGCCTCAGGGTTCTGGGATGCTCCTGCTGGAAACTGCTGGCCCTGGGACAGAACTGTCACCTCTCTTCCCTGCTGACACCGTGTTTGTGTCCCCATCTATGGAATCTCACATCCCCTCAGCAGCCCAATCTTTTCAAGGTCAAACACTTCATGATCCAGGAGCTGATGGGGCTTCAGGAGAGGTGGAGAGGGACTTTGGACAAGGGCATGGAGTGACAGGACAAGGGGCAATGGCTTCCCACTGACAGAAGGTGGGGTCAAGTTGGATATTGGGAAGAAATCTTCCCTGTGAGGGTGCTGAGGCCCTGGCACAGGTTGCCCAGAGGGATGGGGTCAGGTAAAAACAAACACAAGGGCTCCCATGTCTGAGGAGGAGGAGGATGAGCCCTAATGAGGGGCTGGAAAGGGGATCACAGCACCCTGGTCCCTGATAGGTTTCATTGCATCATCAGGGGGATAGGCACTAATCAGGGTGGGCTCTAAGTGCTGCTGACCTGCCTGCAAGCAACTGAGTGCTGTCCTTCCCTTGGGCTGTGTGAGCCTGCACTGCAATGACAGAAATGGGAATTCTCAGCTCAGTTTGTTTTCTTAGGGCCAGGGAACGCTTTGGCAATGATACCGGACGTCTTCCCGGAATGGGAGTTGTTTCTGAGAAGCACCCAGATGCTGGCACAGCACTGTGAGCACTTCCAGCAGTGCCAGCAGCATTCCAGTGCCACCAGCCCCACCAGCAGCCCTCATTGCTGGAAGGACAATGACTCCTCAGGGTAGATAAATGAGGAATGGTAGAAGCCTGCTGAGAGAGGGAAAGCATTTGGAGAATGTCCCATTTGGAAAAGAGTTTCTGATCAGGAGGAAATGAGGAGGCATTCAAAGAAATCTGCATGTCGAGCTACTTCCTCTTTGGCAGAAAAAAACGGTCAAGACAACTCAGAGTAAGGGAAATTCTGACGTAAGCAAAGATTAAATTTCTGACTCTCCCGTCAAGCCTTGGGAAACAACAGCAGGACAGAGTACAGAAAAGAGCCAGCAGGACAGGAATGGGGAGCTCCTGGTGACCTGGGCACTTTCTCCTTCATGTCCGTGACCTGGCAGGAGCTGCTTTAGGACATGGATCCCAAAGGAGCAAGAGGGACCAGGAAGCGCCACTGATCTGCACAGACCCCTTTGCCTGCCGCTGCCCCACAGGGAACAGGTCAGTGGAATATTTGCCTTCCTCCCTACCCCACCTTCCTCTCCTGCAGCAGCTGCTCTCTTCCTGCCACCCTCTCCCGGTGACCGCAGGGCCCTCCCAGCTCCTCTCTCTTCTCCTGTGCATCCCATCTGTAACCTAATACTGAAATGGGCCAGAACAAATTTTCTAACACAATGCAAAGCATAAGGAATTCTTGACCTGCATAGGACACAGAGGGATCTCTCCTTGTATTGTGTGTATGGTGAGACTTTACAACAGGGTATTGATCCATTACAACCACAAGGAAGCATTGAAAAGTCTTTCTTATCTAATACATAAACACCATTTACCTAGAACTCATTTCCATGCATCCACCTTCTCCTACAGGTCCTTCTATGATCCTGGAGGTTTATTAAGCAGAGTCTCTCTGGTGGTCATATTAAATTAATTCTGTCATATTTAAGGTGCCCTTGCCATGAGCTTTTCCTCTGGCCATGCACTGTTGTTTCTTGTTCCAGAATTTGCCCCAAAACCAGTGCAGGCCTCCTTATCTGTTTCTGCACTGGTTCCTGCCATGTTTGTCATCCTGTGTGCCAGCCTTTACATCCTGTGAGAAACAAACACCCACTTTTTTTAATTTTTAAAGATTTATTGAACCTTAACAGAAACTGCAACAAAAAGACTAAATAAGGAGAAGCAGGCCTGGGAGCTTCCCTCATGGCTGCCCACCACGTGGCTGGCTGATCTTCAAGATGGATGCTTCACCTTTGATACCCCGGGGGTTGCATCAGCTAAACCTGGCCCCTCCCAAAGTCTGTCAGTCAGCCCTTCTTTGTGTTTATTGCTGGAGCCTGCTTTCTTGCAGCTTGACTGGAGGGTCAGGTGTTCTCATGCTGCACCTCTTCGCCCCCAGTAACAGGCTTTTGTACACCCCTTCTTTCCACCTGTCCTAGATGACTCAGGCTCTCTGATGGCAACAACACAGAGGGCAGAGAAGGGGACTATGGGGAGAAAAGGGGACATCTAAACAACAGACTGCAATAACATAATTATAAATCATTAAAATTATTAAGCTTCTCTTAATATTCACAAAGTATTCATCCATTAACTGTGAGAGCCAATCATCCCATTATCCATCTATAACCCATCCTATAAAATTTTGGCAACTTTGCTTTTGAACAACTTCAGAGGAACTACAAATATTTATTCTCTGTGTTATTTATCAACCTCCTTCTAACCAGCCCAACCCTCCCATCTCCCTCTCCCACCCCACAATTTCCACCGCCCTCCTCCCCTGCACATCTCACTCCTCCCCACTGAATCCTTCCCACTGCAGGGAGCTGCTGAGGAGCCACGGGGTCCATCCCTGGATTCTCCAAGCACTGACTGCCCATCCACTCTGACCACAGCCAGGGGCCACATCCCACTGCCTGCCCACCATCCATCCATGGAGGTGACCACCATGTCCCCATCTCCTGCCTCACCTACTGAAGGAGATAATCTGTGTGAGACAGATGTCACTGATGTGGCCATACACAGTGTGGCCCTGCTCATCAGCCTCTGTGGGCTGGCTGGTAACGGGGCTGTCATCGGTCTCCTCAGCCTGAAAAAGAGAATCCCTGGCATCGTTGGCTTCACTGTGTTAGACTTTCTATTCCTCCTCTTTGCGGTCCTCTCCGCCCTCCTGCTGCTGGTGGAGGATGTTTCTCTCCTATTCTGCCCCTGCCGTACCTGCATTTCCTTTTCGTGATATCACTGTTCTCCTACTACTGGGGGCTGTTGTGGCTGATATTCAACAGCACTATGCTGTATATGTGCAAGATCTGCTGGCTCTGCTGCCGCAGGGAGCTTCCCAAGTGCCCGAGGCTGGGGAAGATAAGTGTCCATAAGTGGGCCTTCGGTCTTCTCCTCATTGTCCATTATGTGGTAACATTACTGTGCACACGATTGCAGGAGCACTGTCGTGCCGCTTTGATCTCCATATACACCATCCTGCTGGTCCTCTTTGTTGCACCTGTGGTCATTTCTGGCACAATTGATTTCATTAATGCCAAGTGGGGCTCCCAGCAGCAGCAACCCAAGAGGCATGACATCGTTACCTTTCTCGTGGCGCTCTTCATTCTCTTCCTCAGCCTGTGGAATTTCCTGCAGAAGCTCGGTTATATGGATGTGCCCTCTCAGGTTGTTTTCCTCCTCGCCTGCATCCACAGCACCATCAAACCCTTCATCTACTTCTTGGTGGGGTGGTGCTGGAGGCCCTGTTCTGTGGGGTCCCTCCAGCTCTCCCTCCAGAGGGTCTTTGAGGAGCCAGAAGAAAACACTGCCCACCGCAATGATCGTGCCATGGACACAGTGCTCTGAGCCTGCGGATCCCTTCCACTGCTCTGCTAAATAACCTCAGCGCAGAGGCTGAGAGTTTGCTTGAACTTCCTGATTCATCAATATCCACAGGATCACCCTGCCTTTATTAGTGTATTCCTGCAGGAGAAGGGAGCAGGAGCATTGCCTTGGGTGATTTTTGTGGGATGCTCTGCAGGGAGCACATTGGAGCATGGCTTTCCTCCTTCCTGCTGGATCCACATGGCTCCAAGCAGTGCAGCTGGGCTCAGTGCTGTTCCCTAGCTCTATTCCCCATGCAATGACCCTCATGGGCTCAGCCCCAGGGAATGAACTCCATCTCCTTTGGCTCAGCAGATGAATTCCATGGTGTTTCCAGGGAGCTCTTGCCTGCAAAGAATGGGACACCTTAATCCCTGGGGACACAGCCAGCATGGAGTGGCAGTGATTTCCCAAATCCCTGCAGGGCTGGTGCCTCTGGATGGCACGAGAGGGGTTGGGATCACAGGGAGCATCCTTCCCCTTCTGTCCAGCAGAGCCAGCCCTGCATTCCCAGCTGATGGGAAGGGACACCAGGTAGGGCTGCAGAGCTGGGGAGGGACAGCAACATTCCCTTATCCTTTCAGTGGGAATTTGTTACATTCTTTAATTCCAGAAATAAATCCTTCTCAATATCAAAGTGCAGGATCAAAGTTGAACTCCATTGAACCCTTGTGCAGGTGACCAAAAAGAGCTTTAAACATGGAAATTCCCATCTGCCCTGGATTGACTATATGATGCTTTTATCCCCAATCATCTTGTTCTGTTCATGCTGAAAAATAGTTTTGCACATTTAAGACTAGTTCCAGAGGAACTAGTGGGGGAAGAGAAGAAGCTGCCGTTTGTTTTCAGACACTGCACATCCTCCTCCACATTCCTGCTCATGGACTGTGCTGTCTCCAGAGGGACAGACAGCGGGACAGAACTCTCCTTTGCTTTTAGTTATTTTTAGCTAGCTGATGAAAAGAAATTCCCTGGACTGTGGGATTTTTTGCTTTTTCTTTGGACTTGTTCAAATCTACTCGGGACTGAACACCCAGCAGAGCACTGGGAGCTCACACCTGTGGCCCACCAGGCCGGGCCTGGGCCACGGAATTTACAGCACCAGAGGGACTGATAAGGGACTGAGTGAGCCAAACTACACTCCACAACAAGGACTTCCTGAATTTGCCAACGCTTCAGAACATCAAGAGATTTTATTGTTTAATATTGTTTCCATTTCTTTTGCTTGTGAATACTTTCCTTGTTAAATAAACAGTTTTTTCAACTTTTCTCTCAGGAAATCTTTTCCTGAACCAGCTGGGGGTGAGGAGGGAACTGCTTGAATTTGTTTTCTAGAAAGATCCCATTTGAAGGTTTCCTCCCAAATTTACCCTAATTCTGGACACATCCCAAACCATTCCATGAGAAATCCTCATAACATCAAGCATCCAGTCAGGCAGGAGTTCTCCTGCTGCACACAGCACCAGCCTGAGAGAGCTCAAGGAGCATTTGCACAATACCCTCAGGAACAGGCTGGGATTGTTGGGATGTCCTGTGCAGGGCCAGGAGCTCAACTCCATGCTCGTTGTGGCTCCCTTGCAACTCTGGATATTTTATGGTTCTGTTTTATGCTGAGTATCTTTCATGATGATTCCACCTGATGATGATTCCACTGTTTTATCCCTATGCCCTGACTCTGGCACAAAAGACTCAACAGCCCTCTGGAAGGCAGCACTACCAGAGGGGTGAAATCCCTTGCACAGCTCCCAGCCAGGAAGTCAATCAGAGGGTGGGCACTGCTGTTGGCCCAGGAGCCAGAGCACAGCCCCATTCCCACCATCCCACACAGCCACAGCAGCAGCAGCAGCGGGACAGGCACTTTGCTCCACTGCCTGTTGTCACACTGGCTCCAGTTGTAATGGCTCTCCTCATTCCAGCTCCCCTGGGATGCCTTCCCACCGGGCTGACTCCAGCAGGCAGGGCTGGCTCCCTCCGTGCCAGGGGACAAAGTGCTCATGGTGACACCTCTGCTGCTTCTCCTGCCCTCACACAGCTGCAGGGGTGACAAACAGACACACCGGAGCAACGCTGCTGTCCCCCTAACGTGGCTTTTCCCATCTTTTCCCACCCACAGCTTCCATGTGGAGCAGCACAGGGAGGGGTGAGGGACAGCACAGATGGCAAGGAGGATGTGGGAGTCTGATCCTGTGTGCCTGGCACAAAAGCCAGGGAGATACCTCCTTCCTGGCTGTGGATAGAACACAGCTGGAGCAGGAAAACAATTGGAGAAGGAGAGGATTGCCCATGGAGATATCGGAGAACAAATGGCTTTGGGATGGATCTGAGCTGGACTCTCAGGTGTCAGTTGATATCACTGAG